CTTCCTGACCAAGTCCTTTGCACTCTCAGAAATCTTAGGCCAGGGATCTGACTTGAAATCAAGTTCACCGTGCAATACTTCGCTAAATATCTCTTTCTCCGTTTCTGCAAATTACAATTTTTGAGAATCAAATTGACAAATTCAAATGATAACAAATAAAAAAGATTGGATCATCATGCGCTGGACATGTTACATGACGTCTTACCAGCCCAAAACGGAGGCACCCCACTTAACAGAATGAATATGATTACACCAGCACTCCACACATCAGCTTCTGGACCATAACGCTTCTTTAGGACTTCTGGTGCAACGTAGTATGGGCTACCCACCACGTCATTAAATATATCCCCTGCATTAACCAAACATTCACACCAATGTCACTAGCAGAATCAATGATGCCGAAAGAGGATTCATTGTTCAAGCTCACTTTTTCCTCATTAAGCAGCAAACATTCAGCGAGAAATGTTAAGTGAAAGAGGAGACTCAGGAGCAAACCTGGTTTGAAGAAAGCAGACAAGCCAAAATCGATAGCCTTAAGGGGAGAATCCTCCTGATCATTAGTGAAGAGAAAATTTTCGGGCTTAAGATCGCGATGCATTACTCCCAGTGAGTGACAAGCTTCAATGACACCAACTACAGTCCTGGCTATTTGAGCTGCTTTTCTCTCAGTGTAATGCCCTCTCTGTACAATCCTGTCAAACAACTCACCACCTGCACATAGCTCCATCACAACATGAACAGCCAGGGCATCCTCATAAGCTCCTTTTATGGATATCACATCAGGACAGCCTGCCAAGTGATGCATTATCCGAATCTCCCTCCTCACATCCTCCACATCTTCCTCTGTTACCAATTTCCTCTTGGCTATTGACTTGCAAGCATACCCTTTCCCTGTGTCCTTCTCCACACAATGAAATGTAGTCCCAAATTGCCCATTCCCAAGCTTCCTTCCCAAAGTGTAGAACTCCTTCAGATTTCCTGTTTTTGTTTGCAACACAGACTCTGCTTTAAGCCCTACCGCTGCTTGCCTCTTCACATTGTAGGGCTTCTTTTGTTCAGCAGAACCTGCTTTCTTTGTTGTTCTTGAAGTTGACGCTTCTGCTACCCTCCTATCCTCTACCTGCCTTCCGGGTTCTGAAGATTTTTTAGTCTCTGGGACATGGTCTTTTTTGGTGCCATCCTCAAGTACTGATTTTGGTCCCTCCTTTTCCATTCTAGCTACCACTGGAGGCTTGTCGGCGACAGTGTTTGAGGAATTTGGCTCGTTATTACTTGGTGCTGCATTCGCATTTGCTTCGCGTTTATGGCAAAGTATACAATTTGTGAATTGAGTACAACACCCAGCTGAATTCGAAACCTCGGGAACTTCTTTATTCTTTGAAGTTCTCGATCCAAAACAGACACAGTTGTTTCCCATGTCACGCTACTCACCTCTTATGTGTTTCAAATCATGTTTCCTGCACATTTTGATGTTTCCGGTGAATAATCGAACATTACAAGGCGAATATTTCGTGGGCCAGGGAAACACGGGAAGGTGATCCCCCAAATGCCCAATCTATTCGGGTTATGACTCCGCCAAAACACGCACAAATGCAGGATTTGAAGGTTTAAAGGAAGAAACTTTCCGATGATTAGAGCTGAATGTTACTATAACGAAATGAAGGAGGGGATAAGGAAGATGAAACCCAAGGGAAAAACGAAAAAGCAAACTGACAGGAGAAATCTTGGGAAATCTCTGGATTTTAGGAACGAACAACTCTACAATCCTTAATCTTTCTCTCGCGAAGCATACAGGCACGAATTAGGTGAGAAAATGAAGGATTGAAACGATAGATGGCGAAAGAACCAAGGCATAGGGTGTTACCGGTATTTCTGTTACAAAGCTGAGTCAAAAATCCGAGAGGAAACGCGTATCACATCGAGGCATGAACTAATCGGATGGCTTGGAAAGATTGGCCCGCCTTATTGGACGGTCCAGATTTTTATGGAACTTTCAAGTGTTCTGGCAGGCCGCACGGCCGCAGGGGGCTCCGCTGGTAATTCAATTTCTTATTTATTTTTATTATTAATAATATTAATCTATAAATAATAAAGATCACAACAAAATACATAATTGCCATTTGACAAGGTGTTAACAGTACTACCAGGGTATATGATTAAAATATAACTGACTTTAACAATCATAACTATTTGAGAAAACACTGGAATTTCGATCGTTAACACACATATATGCAAGAATCTATGACATGCAAGTCCAGGACGGCCCTTAGTCGTGTTGCTTCACCAACAAAAATATGCCCACGCCCAAATTGTTGGATGAACCAACCCCCCATTGTTGGCACAAGTTCCAAGGGCATGCATTTTCGCCAAATTTTTAAGAACATCATTTTAGGGGTGTTTGGCAAAATCAAAACCTAGGTTTCAGAAGCACTTTTCCGCAAAACGAGATAACCTCCTCCACATATTTATTTCGTAATCCGTAAAAGCACTTCTGAAACCATGGTTTGGTTTCTATCCAAACACCCCTTTAATCGCTCAATTTAAACTTGAGTTTACTACTGAACATTGTTGGTTTGTTCGTTATCGCAAATGATCGATTTTCTTTTTATTCATTACCAACGGTTACCTTCAAGGTTGTGGTATAAGTAATAGGTTGAGTTAAACGAAGGGAAGAATGAGAGATGACATGCAATCGAATTGAGGGCAAGTCCAGAGAGTTTTACAGTTTTTGGTGATCTTAAAAGTCATCGTCAAGATTCGTAGTATTCATGATGACTTACTTTGTTGATATCCGAATATCCATTCAGTGGTTAATAATAGTTCAAGATACAATGATCATTAAGCAGCTCAATTTAAACATCCTTAGCCAATGCTGATAAGTCAGCATCGATGGCTCCATTTTGATCCTCATTTGGCTTCGCGGAGGCTTCTCTCGCTCTTGCTTTCCCGAGGGCTCATCAAATATGCGCTGAGCTTTTGCAAGAACGTCAACGAAGCCATTCTTCATTTCTTCAGCTGCATCAAAGAATCGAGACAGACCATCGATGACGTTCTTTTCCATGGCTTCCAAATCACCTCGTAGCCCAGGGAAGTCAAACACTCCAGCATCTGGTGAACCAAGCTTTGAGGGCCTTCTTTGAAGAACCTCCTCTGTAACGTCATCTTCAGTATACTCTTTGTTGGATTCCACCACTTCAACAGGCCTGAAACATGGGAAATCCATAATTAAGCAATCATATAATACACCAAAGGAACAAGAATGAGAGAGGAGGAATGGAAAATGAAGTATAGGGTAGGAGTTCGGGGCTTTCAGTAAGACACCACGTCAGTTGCCTCTAAAATCTTGATTTCCTTGTTCTAACTGGGCATAGGCCTCTAAGTGCATTTGTGAACAAATAACTAGAGTTTTGCTATGATTCTGTGACAGAAAATCATGAAATCAGTAAAGAGAAGCTATACCCACCCCGTATCGTAAGGAAACCCCCCCCCCCCCCCCAAAAAAAAAACTAAGAGTGCAACCGTTAGTACCAGATCCTCCTTCACAAGAATTTTCCTTCTGCCAGGTCCTCCAAACAACTAGACTTTAAACTTGATTCACCAAGGGTTCACAGTAATATGGATGCACAACCAGAGCTGATAAATTGCTAAGTAACGAGTACAAAATAAAAGGGCATAAGCTACTAAGAAAGAAAACTGAAGAAACAAAACCCACAGTAGGACACAGGAAAGCAGGGGAATAATGTTGAGTGTAAAATCTGAAGTCTGAATCAATGTTTCGGCCAAAAAATCCAAATCAACGGACAATAAAAGAGGAATCCATTTACCTAGATAAATAAAAAGGAGGATATCCAAAAAACGAAATGGAGGAAGTCGGTAAAAATACTAACTTTCCGATACAATCCCTGAAAATCTCTTGGGATTTCTCGCATTTCCTGAGAAACTTGCCAGGCTCAACCTCCTCCGTTCTGCACCGCGATTTCATGACCTTCCGGGTGGAGCATGGTCCCCAGGAGTGAGCGTCAGAGCTCCCGACTTCGCGATTTTCACGAGATGATGCAGGCTGCTGATCGTCGTCGTCGTCCCTCCAAACCCATCCCATAGCTGGCTCGCAAAAAGGATCACCGCCCCTGTGAAGTTAAAAGCGGTGCGTTTCGTTGATGCCGTTATATATAGGCTGTACTTTATCCTCCCCCCCCCCCTCCCCCTCCCCCTCCCCCTCCCCGGGTCAGCTATAGGCGGCACTTTCCTTTCTCGGCAAGTCCAACCAAGGGTCCATATAACATAATCCCATATCAATGTAGTACTTCTAAAATTATTTCTTGTGATTAAAAAAAAAAAAAAACTGAAGTCATCCAATTTGTTAGATTTAAAATGGGAAATGCACGCCTAGTGGGACTCGAACCCACAATCGTCTGATTAGAAGTCAGACGCCTTATCCATTAGGCCATAGGCGCTGCTTGGGAACTGCGACGGAGATTATTTTTCTTATCAATACAAATCGCGCTTTCTTGACGCCCAGTAACAACACGACTATTAGCGGAAAAAAGAGATGCCTTGGGCATAGACAAGAAATGAAGGAAATAAAAGTGCTCCTGCTTCCCTCCTCTTTATATACGGATGTAGGTATAATAGATGGTGCATGAGTGATTGTGGCCTCAGGAAAAGCTATATAAAATTTTAAGAAATTTACCAAAGTTTTTTTTGAGAAACAGGACGGTCAAGCCATCAAGTCATAAACCAGCACTTGCTATGCCATCAATTTTCGAACCGTATTTTATAGGTTAAACAGGGAAGGCAGGCCAGATTTAGCCTGTGTTGTATTGCAGCAAAAGTCAGGATTAAAATTTACAAGTTTCTTCTCTGATAGGGTGCTCTTGGTATACTTCTTCTTCTTTTTCTTTTTTTTTTTTACCTGACTCTTGGTACACTTCTGAAACTTGACATCCCCATAGTAATCATTCACCAAAATGATGCTCCCGGAAGGGGGGGAGGCATTGAGAAAACATCAATCAACACGAGCGTGGATTGTAGTCGATTTAATAGTTGTGCGTGTAAACCCAAATTGCATTACACAAGCTCCCCAAAGCTAGGGAAGTATAATGATGTCATGGCAAAAAAAAAAAAAGAACTCTCAATCATCAGCAGCATTAAGGTACCATGTCACAAATTGGACGACTCACGTTCAAATTCTTCAGACAGGTCCATCAGGTGCCACAAAAGGAATGTCCCAATCCTCCAGGTCTGCACTAGAATGATTTTAAAATCACACAAGCAAAAACCAAAAAGGGGCCCCTTGTATCGCGTTCACGACGTAATAAACTACAGAGAGAAAAGGTGGGAGCTGTTTACTGACCGCACTTCCTCTTGCTCAATAAGAGTGGAAGTAGAAAGCTCAGACATGGCACCCCTCCAGAACTACCACCACTGTGGTCTCATGCCACCAACTTCTATAATAAAGGAACGAGTAATTGTTTGCTTTTATCCTCCATTCTCCTCTCATGCTCACCTCAATTAGCGACAAATGTTAGCAATGAAATGGAATACAAATGGAAACCACTTCGCTCTTATTTCCTGAATTTGACCTTCTAACAAGTGTAAATCACTTTTGACCTAGAGCCTATATCAAAGTTTCTTTGCTACTTCGTCAGTTACACGCTCATAGTATGTCATTCTTTGAATCGATGATTTAGCTTCTTCAAAGTTACGGCTTTGAAATGCATCAGCAAAGACATTAGACCAGTGCTTCAACTTTTCCTGCATCTGCATGAAATGAAAGGTTTGACATCATGGTGATGCAAAGCAGTAATAGCAAATAATAATAATCCATGTAAAAGCAATAACAAAATGGAAGATTATGGAAGCAATCTTTTCAGTGGATTTCTGACTGGCAAATTAGAGCAATAATAGTTACCTCAGAGCGAATGTGATTTAAAGCCTCAGAGTCAGCAGCGTCTTCAACTGCTTCCCTGATTTCCAAAATCTGCAGTAAAATTTAACAAAATGATAGATAATGGGCTCTTTTTCTCATCTCTGGCCAAACATATAGACAACAGACAGAAAATCAGGTCGTCCTATGGTCAAAAAGGGCACATATGAATAGGAGATAGAACATAATAATTTTTATCAAGAAAATCCAGTGCTACTGTTAAAAATCTGAAAAGGAAGCCTGATTACTCAAGAGAAGGAAGAAAAAGGCTAGGGGGCATGAAGAGAAAAGGAAGAAAAAATTTTCCCAGCACCCAAACAACCCAACTTTTGAATTCCTCTCCACTACTGCCACTTTCATCATGATTCCACATATAAATTGTTGGAGCATATATTCAATAAATGAAACCCATGGATTAATCCAGCATTCCAAAAACTTCACTTATCCCATCATGTTTTCAATCAATTAATTATTTGAATAGATAAATACAATATTTGTTCCCATTTTGGAGTTGTTTTCAAATGCAGTAACTAGTCATCCATATCTATAAAAGAAAAAAAAACACAATAAATGCATATCACAGGCTATTTAAGTACCTCAGCTAGTAGTTCAGGGTCTGAAACAGTCTGTTCATCATCAACTTCTATTCCCTCAAGCTTCAACTGGAAAACATTGGCGCAACATTACTTAATAACATGACGGAAGGAAGAGCCGAACAATCAAAGCCAAAAGTTTTGGTGGATGACTCATTCATGACATTCGTATCATAGACTTCATCACATAAAATTTACACTTTTACAAAGAAAGAAGTTCTAAGATACCCACAGCAGATTCATGAACATCTACCATCAGGTATAGAATATTCTTTCTTTCTTTTTTTGGGTATATAGATATAGAATGTTCTTCACAAATATATTATTATCATTGACCCACTTCTTTTTAGCACTTTCAAGTCATAGAGAGACTTCTACCACTGCAATGAAGAATGACCATTTTAGTGACATAAGGATGAAAATATGCTTACCAAGTAAATTGCTCTTGACAAAGGTCTAGTAAGTGTCCGATATGCATCAATCACCTTGGCAGATTGTTCAGCAGCAAAATCTCTTTCTTTCTAGGCATAAAGTTAAGGGGAAGAAAAAAGAGAAATGTATTCAGTTTGCCCATCTCGTTAAAATTAGATTTGTAAATAACAAGAAGAAAGGAAATCCGTTAGACCAACCTCAGATTTTGAATGCACTAAATCCGGGTGTATTTTCTTTTGCCAGTTTTTGTACTCGCCTTCCAAGTTCTTAACCTCAATATCATAGTTCTTCTCCCTGTTGCAGATTGGGAAAAAGAAAATTCACTCGCGGATTTCCCACATTATCTAGCAAAATTATCAGGCAATAAATTTTCCCTCTTTATTGTAAGATCTGAAAGGATGTTATGAGCAGGAACCAAATTATGCATCATTTTAAGGGGAAAAAATGATCCATTAACTACGTACAGAACTCAGAAGATTGCAATAACCTACAATTTTCTCTTGTACACGAAGAAAAGTAGCACGAACGAATATACATGGCAATACCATTAAAAATAAAAAGTTAAACTATCTTACGCAGTGAAAAAAGGACAGCAATCTCCCCATAATTATTGCTTCTCGTCACTTCTCAAAATTATCAACGGAAATAGAAATCTCCTTTGTTGATATGTTTACTAACTCAGCAACCAACCTAGATGCAAAAATTTTATTCCACATTTCTTTTCGTACCCTTGATAAATGAATACTAGCAATAGAAAAGAAAGAATGTTGAACTATGTCAACAAATTTACTATCCAGAATCACAAAAGCCCAGGAACTTACAGTCCGAATATGTCAAAATAGTCTATGGATTTATCCACGGGCTGAATGCTCCTACAAGACTGGCAAACCAAAAACGGTGCTGATTCGGGGATAGCATGACAGTTCCAGCACCTACTTTCGATTTTCTGGGAAGATGCCGAGCAAACACTTCTGATAGAAACCCTAACATTTCCAAAATAGCGCGAGGGTTCGTGTAAAAGGCGATCATATGGTGTAATCGAAGGTGGTGGCGATAAGAGAGAAGTGGAGCATTTAAATTGAGAAGAGTTGAAGGGGAAATCAGGGGGAATCGAAGTTAGGCGTTTTCTCATGAAAATAGAAAGTGGCGTGAAGAGCTTCTTCTTCGACATCGTAGAAGAACACAGAAGCTGGCAGTAGCAATTTCGCTTGGCCAGGCAGGTAGTGCCGCGGCAATTTCCCGCTTCAGGGGCCAGGCCCGTTTAAAAGACAGACTATTTTACCGGAAAGGCAAGGAAGAGAAAGGAAGGGAATCGAGGAGAAAATATGAGGTCAAAAAGGATTTTTTTTTTTTGAAAAAAAATTTTAAAATATAAAATATAGAACATCATATGAGAAATTTTCAGATCACCCACGTCTCGGCAACAAATATAAATCAAAATTTAAGAAATACTGAAATAGAGAAGTCTTCCACCGGCAACCACCATAGGGAAAATATTCGACGAAATTTCAAATTGTCTGATTTCTTTTTTTCGTTGACCTGATCACTTTGTTATATTTAAGAACAAAATGATAATCGTATTTTTTGTATAAAATGGACCAGAAGTAGTAGAAAATGAATGAATGTTGCGCATGACTCATTCTCTTCCCTTCACATTGGCTCGTCGGTGATATTTGCATCTTCTTTTTGGCAGATCAACGTCGTTGGATTATCGCGCTGCGTAAGGGGGCTAAGTGCATTCTTTCAAGACAAAAATTAAAATTTTTCCCACAAAAATATTGTTATTTAATCAGCAAACTCTTGGCTTTTGGCAGGATAACCTCGAATTAATGCAAGAGAGGGAAATTTGATACAAGAATGAAACGTGCCTAGACCTCGACAAACATCTACCCAGTGAAATACATGGCTGCCCACATGACTTGTAGACGAAAGATCATATCATCTCACATTCCAAGATTATACCCGCACGTTTCACGACCTTCTTCCTCCATTACAGAGTAGTTTCAGGAGGGGAATAACTAGAGTATGCTTTTGTTCTTCCAACAATTGTGTAGATGAATCGTGAGATCCCAATTTCAAACTATATGAATCAATCAATCAGCTGGTGATTTTTTGGTACATGATATATAAAAGCCAGAATATTCCTGGCACAACAGGCTGTATGACGATGAAACACTTAATGAAAAAGCTTCGTTCAGTATGATTGAGGAATTTCTGGCCAGTTCATCCACAGTGAAGATTCTTTGCTTTGTTTAAACTTTCACGAAGCACTATCGTAGCAAAAATATTTTATACAACGTAACCTCGCCATATTAAATGCTAGAACAATGACGTGTTTACTTTCTACTTTAGGAGGTGTTTGGTTTCTCCCGAAAGTACTTTTATCACAAATCGAGATAAAACTCTCCTTACATATTTACTTCGTATACAGTAAAATCATTTTTAAAACTATGATTTAGTTGATGCCAAGAAGGGTGGGCAACAATAAAACAAAATGACATAAGTATCTCAGTTCGGAACAGCCAAAGCAACAAATGCAGTTGACAAAGCCTTCAAGGCCATACATTATTAAGGTAAGGGAAAATATTAGCAGTTCAAACTTGGGTCACATGATTATAGCAACGAGGTAAAATGAAATGAGAGAAGACGGACAAGAGTTGAAAATAAAGTGTTGCATCAAGCAGAAGACCCAAAGATACAGAACCTCAGAGAGTATTTGACGTCTTAGTTTAGCATATCGCTTCTACTTCTAAGGATCTCAACACCTAAGTAATCAACAGGACCCTGAACTGCCACATGGGGCTTCCCAACTTTCACACAAACAGCAGATATCTGAGGTATCTTTGTCAGAGTAATGGTTGCAATTTGCTCAGCTGCTGATTCCAAAAGATTGCGAGGTGGCCCTTCAATAACTTCTTTTGCTATACTGCGCCATCATATTATTCTTGTTAAGAGCATTTACATAATATTAATTACATAGTTGCTTAAGGGATTAAAACCCTATTCTGGTCCTCAAAATGATAGTGAGTGAGGCATATAGAGCAGCCAAAACAGAAAAGCTTATATGGCGGATTTAATTAAAACGATAGTGAGGTATGTCCGCAAAGTTCCTTCTTCAGAGAAATAAATCCTGGAAACTAAATACTCATTTCATGCATACCATTCAATAAATTATCATGCAAATTTTGATAACTTTACTTAGAGGAATTACGCTATTCAAGAGCATCATGAATAGTTTATACATCCTAACATATTTTAAATCAATTTCCACAGACAGCAGATTAATCTATGAAAATCATCCCCGCTAGTACTGGAACCAGATGGGTCAATCTTGTGAAAGACATAAAGGAAGAGTTTAAACTTATTGCTCACCGATAAATATCTGTGTAACTAACTGTATCTGACAAATTATCAGATTTACCCGCTGCTCTGAGATCCATCCAAGCATCCACATCCACCAAAAATTTCTGACCCAGCTTCCTTTCTTCTTCTTTAACCCCATGAAAACCATGGAATATTAATCCCCTCAGTATGAGTTTGTCTCCCTTCACCTGTGTATTGCCTTCCATTATTGCTGACATGAAAATACAAAATATTAGCAGAAGTTTTGAGGATAGATGCTAACAAAGATTATACTGTTAGAAATAATGTGCGTACATAATTCACTTAGGCACATGTGTATAATAGTCATTTCATAATCTCTTATGTCCTTGTTTGTAATTCTGTCTCCTAGAGTAGCATCCCTTGCATGTATAAATTACATCGAACATCAAGTGATACGCATGTAAAAGCATCAACCAAAAGGATTCACTATCTCAAAATCTCATTTGATTATAACATTTCCACAGAGAGGGAGAGAAACCAAGAGCTAAGTTCCGATCTTCAACAGCAAAGTTTCAAGTTTCATTCTCGACGAAAATCAAGAGAAATCGAGGGGGAGCCATCCATCTTCAATTACCAAAAGTAAAGTTCCTTGTTTCAACAGAACTTGAGGCCAGCAAGCTCAACTTTATACAGAAATCCGAAACGAAATCTGGAAAACAGGATTAAAAAAGGGGGGCAGAAAAAGAAAAGAAAAGAAAAGAAAAGCAAGGCGATGAGGAAATAGATAAGAGAACCTGGATGTGGGTGGTGGATGGTGGCTAACGAAGCTCTGCTGGTGTCTACTACTGTTGATGACGACGACGAAGATAAAAGGAGGTCTTCGGTGTTGTTTTGGTGTGGAGACCGAACGGGAGCATGGGAGCGAACTGAAGAGCGGGTTTCGTTGTTTAAAATTGGGAGCAAAAGCCGATGGGCAACGACATCATTGTCATCCTATCTTGCCCAAAAATTGGAAAGAAGGAAGAGAAGAAAAAAGGTATTTCTAGTTTTTCACCAGATTCGACGGGTCGTTGTGATTGGGTTAGGCTACATTTTGTACCAGATTCGAGGGCTCATTGGGCTAGGCTACAGTCTGGAGAACTCGGTGCTATTTTTTTAAAAAATTTTTTCAATTAGACTGTTCTGTTATTAACACTCTTTCAGTTTTAAATATAAAACTTTTATATATATAAGGGTTTTATATTTAAGATCAGAAAAATATCATAAAAAAAAATCCCTAAAAAGGGAACGGACCCGTGAATCAAGTTATTATCAGTATCGGTATCATTCGATACATTATACACAAACTAATCTTCTAATGCGGATATGGTCACAATTTTATTGCTGGTAAAAAAAATAGATATGTTCCAGTTCTAATGATTTTTTTGAGACTTAACTCACCTAAAATTTTAGTAGGAAAAAAAACCGAACATACTGATATTTTATTGTTTGTGCTAAAATAACTGCATCCCTCTTAAATTTGTCCATACGCATGCATGTGCATACTCTCTGTTTTTTTTTTCTCCCTCAATTTATCTGTATAATCCGAAAGTCAAGGGGTCGGTACGTCACACATTTTATGTGAGATGATAAAATTAAAATTTAATATATTCCTTTTAGCTGGTAGGATTCCCGGATTCGTGGGGACGGGGCGTGGTGGATGCAACCAAAAGAGGCGAAAGAGAAGGCAGCTGTCTCAATTATACGTTTGGTATCTAATATCTATACAAATAAAATGAATGTAAAACGAAGAATGGAAACAATGACACAAATTTTATCATATTAAAACAGCAAAGATGAAAAATACTTTTACATTTACCATTATTTTATTTTAATTTCAAAATGAAAGACTAATTGCGGTCATTTTATTTAATTCAGTCTTATTATTGAAATTTGACATTACAATTTTGATAAACCAATAAATAAAATAAAATAAATGTTATTAAATTAAAAAAATTAAAAAAAAACACTTACAACAACAATAACGACGTCTTATTCTTCCTTTTCTTTGCCGACAGGTGATGACATTTTCGATTACAATAATCCCATGGACATATCAATAATTTGGTTGTGCAGAACTGCAGTCTGCAGGGCGATGATGATTGCGCGTTATTCGGCCGACAGGATTGAAAATGTAGCCCAAGAATTTATTGGGCTCTGCACTCCATTCTTTCCGTTGAAAGTGGGCTCTGTTTAAGTTATTCGAATTGGGCTCCGACCCTCGTTTTCCACTTCAACGCTGCCTCTGTGTCATTGATAATATCTTTATTATTATTATTATTATTACTATCACTTTCAGTCATAATTATAAGAGTTAGTTGATTAATTTAAAAAAATAAGTTAAGTTATTTATTTATAATAAATAGGTGTTGTTTTTTCTAAAATATCCTTACTAATCAAGTTTATTGGTTAGAACTACCATTGTTAAAATGATTATTTTGAGAGAGAAAATACATAAATATAAAAGACAAAATGGATTGGGATCTTATAATCAGGATCAAAATAAAAGTTAAATGAAATCTTATATTAAAAATCAAAGTTAGTATTAATTATGACAGATATACTACTATTCAACTTAGTGGCCCGAGAAGCAAGTGAAAAAGGTAGGATGACGAGGTGGCATTTCTTTTTCTTGCGAGGCCGGATTTCTGAACATGATCGGTAATCAATGTTGTTTATGGATCTTTTTTTTTTTTTTTCCCCCAGTAGGTAGAGCAGTTCACAGTGTATGATGGTGGATACCTACTGAATATACTACTATCATTTGCTGTAACTTTTTACGCATTTTCTCTGCATTCCTTCACAACAAGGATGATATAAAAAGGATGCGCGGAAAGTTGCTGCAAACACTTTGGTGAAATCATTTTGAGGGAGGTCAAAACAAAAGATGGTCTTTGGTCACTGGTGGCATACTGGCATGGGTTAGAGTTCATCAAATGAATTCTTGGACTTCAGATATAACCAATCATCGCACAGACACTGCCTTTTTTCTGTCAACGCACGAATCTGTGCGTGCTTTGCATAAAATCACCGATCCGTGATTGCCAAATCCTGTATTCTAGATCACGCGCACTACTTCATGGTGACCACATGATGAAGCAATGAAAAGGAATTAATTTTGTGTTTGAATGGGAAAGTAAAGGCCTGCAATGGTTTCTGGGATTCCTTTCCAAACACTTGCGGATGAAACTCATTCAAAGTGGAACACGTGGATCTCTAATTTGTCCCTCCTTCCTTCAAAAGCATCATCATTATGCCCCCTTCAGGGTCAAACACGTTATATTCCTCCCCATTTCTCTCTACCTTTACATATATATATATATATATATATATATATATATGCACGCAAAGCCTGTTTACTCGGATTCGATTACGCGTAAAAAGACATGGAAATCTAAAAGCTTGTGGAATGTATGAAAAGGAGAAGTGATCAAGGGTTGGCCCACGATCTGCAGCCACAAATTTTGTGGTCTGCCCAGATAATTTGTTCTCCGAGTACTTGCTCTGCGTTTGCGTGCCTCCTTTGCAATGATGAGCCTCCCAGATTGGCGACTTCTGCTTGATTTTAACGCTCATTCTCTGATCACTCCCCATTCTTCTTCCTTTCTAAGTTGGTACATAATTAAATAGGAGTTTATAAATTCTGGGGTCGCATAGTAAAACACCAGTTCTTATTATTAAAAGCAAGTCTTATCCTTTATGTTGATGAGGGTGGCAGCAAAATAAAGGAAACAAACTGTTAGGTACGTAATTCGCGGCCATAGAGCTGAATGCTGATGGAAGATCTGTACATGAACAGTACTGGTCTTTTGTCTTGACGTTCAAGCGAGACAGAGGGATCGGATGAGCACGATTCTTGACAGCTTTTATCAGAATAGAATATCCATTTTGGAGAACCGATTTGTCTTGGCTAGGTTAATAATTATTGGGTTTTTTTTTTCCCTTTATTCTATCTTTATTCTTTTGTTTTGTGGCTGACCTTAATATCTGTTCTTTTCTGCGTTTTCTTTTTCGCTTGGGTTCTTCCGTGAGGTTCCCTATTATTTTTATATACTAAGGGGTTTGAGGAAGGGGTCCTTGTAGGGTTTGATATCATTGTTGGCGTTGCTTTCAATGTCCTTCCCATAAATGACTTCGATCGAAAGTAACGTGGGCTCTTGATCAATGGATCGTTTGCGTTGTGGTGGAAGATAATAGATTAGTTGCTTTTTTTTGAATGAGAGTGATTAGTTCTTTTCAATACACTTCATTCATGGTCCAATTTGCTTTATCGTCTCACTTTTTTAAGCACCCACATATGTTCCCTCGTCATAAAGATCCCTACAAAAATAAAATACACGGTCTATAATTTATTTAATAATTAAATTCATTATATGGTGAATTTTATTTTTATATTGAATATATCTATTTACTTATCTTACATTCCTCCGTGACCGCACTTCATTGTCCCTTGCGGGCTGTGTTTAGACGCGTCATCATGGAATCAGAAAATAATTGCAAGGGGTAAGAACATATATATGCTCCATATAAATAATAATTAGTATTAAATATGTATAACTTCATATATTTATTAAATCAATACCATTAATAAAAAGATTTTATGTAAAGAGTTTGTTATATTAAAATTTAATTTCAAATTGTTTGATTAAACTGTACCTTTATTATCTGTTTGAGACATTGCCGAATATTAATTACAAACACTTCTTTTATAAAAAATTTAAAATTTAGTTTATCATGTTGTAAGGAATTAACCTCTTTCAACTAGTCTCAATTTCTATTAGTTTACTATTAAAGACCAGTATATTTCACTATATGGATTTCATTTGATCAAAACATTTAATTTTAGGTATTGTGGCGGGCCCTCCTAATCCCACCACACATGTATCTAATTATGCAGTTTTATTATTTAACAGAATGGAGAGAATTCATTATTTGTAAAGTTTGACGGCTTTGAATCAAACCACGTTCGTGAATCATGCGGGGCTCTCAACATGAAGCTGCCATAGCTTAACAATGGTCGATTTTTTAAATGTTTTCTTGTTAGATTTGTTGTTATTGTCGTGTTTGAGAATATGCCATTCGAAGTTATTTTAAATTATATTTTGATGGCGGTAGCAGGACAGGTGGCGGGAGGTCATTGGTTGAGCGGCATCACATTCTTTTGTAAAGGAGTGATTGTGTGGCTGTCACGGGGTACTTTTCATGCGGCCCCCTTCCTACTTTTTTCTATGATTAGTGGCCATCTTTTCACGCGTTGCTTTCGTCCCAGCTCCCTTTTCAAGGGTTTCGTTGCTGCTTCACCTAATTTTAATATTATTTTCGTATCTAATTATAAAATTTTATTTATAATCTATAAATAAGATTTTATAATTAGAAACAGAAGTAATATTTACCAATTCCCTACTTCACCCTATTCCAATTCATCACTAATAAAGTCATTATTGTTTGCATCAATTAGTTCCCCTCAACAAAGCAAATCCCCATCGTCTTTTCAGCATGACTTGTGGGTCTTCGCTATGCTAGCTGTTCTTCTTAATTAGGAGAGGATTCTTTCCCGGCGAAGACTGAAAACTCAGGGACTGAGATATTTGACGAGTTTCACCCATTTGGTTAAATAAACAGGCAATTTATCTTGATGAAATGGAATCTGTGTGCTGATAATATGTAATGTCTAGCTCTTCTGCATCCAACTTGGCAGCTCATCATCGATCTTGATTTATTTTGGGCCGTAGCCCGTAAGAGGGAGCATGGGGGTTGGATTAGAATGGAATCCACGTAAATCAAATCCCTTTCAGACCCGAGTCAATTAAAAATATTAAACAAACTATAATAAAGCGTTCCGTAAACTTTGCACTGTTATACATGACAGGAGGAGAGCAGGTTGTTACATTCACAGGCACAAAAGTGAGAGCGTTGAACTGTTCGCATATATCTTAGTGCTTGTCAAAATCTTGCAATTTTAGTGGTCATCAAGAGATGGTGGCTAGCCAGAAAGGAAGAAGATATTTGAAAGGAACAAACCCAAGAAGGCCATAAAGCCTTC